GCCATTAGTAGATAACCATCAGTAGTTACTTTTTAGGGGTGCTATGTGATTACTTTGATGGCCATGCCAGCAACTCTCCTACCCCAACACTGCTGAAAACAGCTAAGAGAACTTCAGTCTGAGAAGCCCTGGGGCTCCAATGCTTTAATGGTATCTTCATGGTACACAGAATCCCAAGGAGGAGCCCAGAAATTCTGACTCCAGTGGCCAAGAAAAGAGGGGTATTTGCTGTCTTTGGACATGAGGTTAGATAAGACACATGCCTGTAGGCCAGTTCCAGTCTTTAGTACCGCCCCACCGTTGTTATTACTGACCTAGTCATGCCTCTCCCAAGAGACAGGAGCCTCCTTGAAGACAAGAGTTATATGTAGTGGGATGGCTAGGCCTGAACAAAGACAACAAACCACTTAGTACAGAAGCCAGTGATGTTTCATTTTAAAAAATCTGCTATCTTTAAGTCAGTGGAGACACGGATATTTTGCTTTGAAAGTGTTTCAGGCCAGAGGACGTTTTTTATTTTGGATCCTGGCATGGAATCATAGTACACTACCACCAGGTGGCAGTAATCTCAAGGAGTTCAGGGTTCAGAAGGTTTCGAACCAGGGTCTTGTCTTCCTCCAGTGGTCTGATTTGTCCTCCTGAGGCCAGGGGAAGGCAGGGGAAATGTCTTGTCCTGAGGACCAGCATGTTAGATACCTCCTCCTCAGATTCTGTTCCTTCCACAGCACAGGGAAGTGGTGTATCAGTGCCCCGCTGGGAAAACAGACCCACAAGTTGGATCTGTGACAAGCCTTTCTGTTCTCACCCTGAAAACACACACTCGAAACACAATGACAAGCGAGAGCAGCAGAAATCTGGGGCAGGGACAATGGGATTTCTTGCAAGATCCCCTTGGCTCTCCAAAGATGGAAAAGACAGAAACTGAAAATCTGAGGCAGTAAAAATGGAGTTGGAGCACTTCACAATCCAGAGAAAACACAGGGCTGACAGTGAAGACAAGCAGATGTTTAGAAAGTTCTAACCACAGAATGCAAATCACAGGCACACAGTGGGCGAGCTATTCATCCCTTCAAGTTCTTCACAAGAAACTTCATTTCCTGGATCCACAATACAAGCCTGGGTTCCTAGTTCAAAGCCACCCTCCTCCTGGCCTGTGGGTTCTGACTTGTCCTCAGAGCCAGACATAGCCCAACATGGCCCAGGGTCCTACTATGTGCCAGGTCTGGGGCTGGGCAGCAGAAGTGAGAAATGCATGGGCTCGAGCATGTATGTGTGTGTACCTGTGCTGTGTGGCAACCCTGTATGGCAGACAAACATTCCTAACCTACTAGACAGGTGAGAACCATGAGCCCAGAGAGAGAAAGGCACGGGGTGGAAGCCATGCTGTACAGTAGCAGTGGACTGGTTAAGTATTCCAAAGTCACTACTTCATGAAGAACATGCTCGTAAGTGCTGGAAGATTGGACCACCATGACACAGGTAGTGAATGCTCCTAGGGTCAGCTGTCTTCTTCCCAAGAAACAGTCATTGATCATTTCCCCTCACTATAGGTTGTGCGAGGGCTGGCTATCAAACAGTGAACATGGCAGGTACATTCCCTGCTTGAGTGAAGATGAGTAGTGACAATCCTTTGAGATGTCAGCAGTGGTGGGAAAAGGGACCTGAGGACTGACAAGAGATATGGGTGTTGGGAAGGACATGGTGCAGTGGTAAATTCAGGGATCCCTGGTGACTCTAATAGCTGCAGGCACACCCTTAGATTTTTGAAACAATTTCCACAGCTATCTTCTTCTGTTCACAAAAAAGAGATTAGCCCCATTTTACTGATGATGAAACTGAAATGGTCCCACGGTTCCAAAGAGGGAGTGTAGAGTAGTGCCGCCCCCAGTCCATGTGCAGCCTATGCACAGATAGAGCAGAAGCGATCTGCTATGGAGCTCCAGATGTGAGAGGCCTGAGAAGTCAGGTGAGGGGCAATGAGGATCGGATGCAGGCTTGGCCCCGGAAATGAAGGAGAGAAGGTGAATAGCCTGGCTGAGACCCCTCTAGGCAAGATTGTCTGGTGGATCTCTCTCTGCTGCAGATGGTAGACCCTATGGAGGTACACGAACCTCTGATCTCACCCTAGCCTGTTTTGTTCTTCTCAAGAGGGAGACCTGGGTGGAAGAGTGGCCTGACTGTCCTCTCCCCCAGGCCGAGGGACCAGGATCTAGTACAATGCACACTTCTGGGCACAAGCCTGCAGCTTCACCAGGAGAACTCTCAATAGTCATTCAACTGTCATGATTCCTAAGCAGGAAAGACACCCCCATCTGCTGATCCTTTTACCCGATATCCCAGTCCCCACACCCTGAGGCTCTAGATGGACATCTTGGGGCCAAGGGCTCAGAGGCTGGAAACTTGACTTGACCTGGCAATGCCCTGGAGCTCCAGGCTCTCATTGCCTTCCTGGGAATCTCTTCCCTGGCTCTCAGGAGAGGTGTAGATAGGCATGGGGCAATCTTCTATTTGCTAATGGCTGCAGGAGGTTACAGCTCAGCCTCTCAGGTCACTGGTGGGAAAACTGAGGCTCAGAAAGAGACCTGGGAAGACCGTGGGAATCTGAGATAGTTAGGGAAGAGCTGAATGGATTGCTAGGCCTCTGGTTCATCTGTGTTTTCAGACTGTGTGTGTGTGCTGGTTTATCTGTGCTCTCAGAATGTGTGTCCATGTGTGTTTGTCTATGTGCATTGTATGTACATGTCCATCTGTATACAAGTGCATATGTTTCTGTGTGTGCATCAGTGTGCATGTGTTTCTCTCTGTGTTTGCAACTATGTATAGTTGCATTTGTTTCCTCTGTGTGCAAGTGTGTGCACTTGTGTATCTGTATGGGCATTTGTGTGCTCATGTGGGTGCTTATCTGTGTGCATGTGTGTTTTCTACTGTGTCTGTATTTTTGTATGTGTGTCTGTGTGTATGTATGTATGTGTATATATATCTATGTATGATCATATGTGTGTCTTTAGGACACTGAGGAAGTAGCAACTGGATTTTCTTAACCCTTTCTGACTGTTAGAATCACTTCTGAGGCTCCTTACCTACCTGGCTGTCCTGTAGCCATTCCAGACCTACTGAAAGCTACCCCTTGGAGCCTGTATCTTTAACAAGCTCCAGGCACCCTGATGATTGTCAAGGTCTAGATACTGTAGAGGATGCTCATGGTCTCTTCACTGGACCTTAAGGCCCAAGAAGGAAGAAGGGAGTGGTCAGGGGAGACAGGCAGACACCTGTCTACTACTGATACTGGAAGTGTAGTCTAACCAGAGAAATGGGCATATGATGGGATATGTGTAGCCCCAAACTGCTGTTTCAGTAGAACCCCTGCTGTCAGAGTTAGAGTTGGCCAGGCCATCAGTCAGAAGCCAATACCATTCCTCCTGGAGATCCTTCCTGTGATTTGGGATGTGATATTGGAGGCCAATAGTACCCCAAGGGACAGCAAACTGGCAAAGCATGTGTCCCACTCCACTGACCTCATCACTCACTGTCACAGACTCCTCTGAGTGGCATTGAACAATCAGTGCTTTGCAAATCCTTCCATCCACACTGCCCAGAAAGAGGGAGTCAAAAGCCACGGGCTTGAAATCTAAAAGAAGTTTCAAATTCTGACTAGAAGTTAGACACCAATTCTGTATGACTCATGTGTTTGTTTCTATATAAAGTGGGCACTTCCTGGTGGACACAGACAACCCTGGGAAAGTAGCTTCTTACGCTGGAATTACTGCGGACCTGGGCATACACCAGAGAGGTCTGGGCTACAGTCTAGGAAGCTCCCCCAAACACTTCTGGCAAGAAGTAGAGATAGAGGGCTTGGGTGATAAGGGGGTCTCTGTTTAACACACTCGCAGACACTTGTTACTCATGACTGGAATAATCTAGGCCTGACTAAAGACTAGGGGTAGATGAGTCAATTTCTCTAATTATTTGTGTGGGGTGGGGTGGGGTGGGTGGGGGTGGAGTGAGTTTGGTGTGATCTCTTTTACAAAGAAAGTTAATCACAGTAAGGCTCCACCTTCTCACCAAGATGCCCTGTGGCAGGTCTGTGACATCAGGCAGGGAAAGATAAGTAATTTTAACTAGTTTCTAACTGGAGTTTAGTATGTCCTTCATTTGTGACCATGAGTGCTGTCACCAAACCACAGACCCCTCATGAAGGAAAGCCTAGATACAATGATGGTATGGCCAGCTAAGTATCTGTGGTGATGACTGGAGAGACAGACCATAGAGTGGTGAAGAGCACATATTGCTCTTCCAGAAACTAGAATTAAATTCCCAGCATCTACATCAGGCAGCCTACAACCTAGCTCCCAGGAGATCTGACACCTCTGACCTCTTCCAACACCCATACATATGTGGCATGTATACACATATGCATGATTAAAAAGAAATTAATTAAAAATTTAAAACAAATAAAATATAAAATATCCTCGATGAATGATGCTTTGACGTTATAGTACTAGATGAACATCCCTGATCCCAAAAACCAAAATTTGAAACTTCTAGAATATCAACATATCATGGCAAGAGATTTATTACACATATAAAACAACTAAAATTACCTATACAAGGCATACATGAAACAAATAAACTTCATGCTTACAACTGGGCATCATCTGCAAGACGCTCAAATATATGTGACTATTCCAAAATTCAGAAAAATCTCTAATCTGAAATGTCTGATTCTAAGCATGGCAGGTAAGGGTGACTGGGCTTGCAGCTCACAGCCCTGTGTGGGATGGTATGCTGAAGGCACTAACCAAGAAGTGTCCATGTCATCAGGCTACACAGCTACCTTTAAATGTTCTCCAGTTGTATTTTGCTACATTTGCTTTCCTATGCCTTTAACTGATGTGTTAACTATTACTTTTCTGAGGAGGCCACAGGCTTCCACCTAATTACACGGTCATTGAGCCTCAGTGGCTGATGTGTGACACTGTGATTTGAGCTTCAACCCTTACCTGTGGATCAGAGAGCCGGGAGAGGTCAGGGTACAGGTAGAACTTGATGCCTTCAGAGGCGCCTGGCAACGTGACACCTCGGATTAGGAGGATCAACAGCATGATGTAGGGGAAGGTTGCAGTGACATACACAACCTGCCCAGGAGGAGAGAGAAAAGAGTTAGGCAGGGTTGACAATGATGGCTTATTTCACTTAGAATAGTCCCCTCTGCATGCTGCTGCATGCTGAAGACTGTCCTTTATGAAGGTTGCCCTGAATTTGATTAGATGCATGGACTATGTTCTCTGTATCTGTGTAACCCAGGCTCAGAATCTGACTCCAAGCATCTACAGCTGTAAGGAGCTATGGATACTCATGTCTCTCACATCAAATGACCCCTTGTAGTTGGAAGTTTTTCTCTGTCTTACCTGGTTCCACTGGACCAGTTTCTCTCCCGCCAGCAACCACTTATGACATAATCACTCAGAGGCTGATATTAAATATAATCACTTGACTGATGGCTCAGGCTTCTTACTGGTTAGCTCTACGTATAAACTAATCCATTTCTAATAGTTCATATTTTACCATGAAGGCTCATGGCTTGTTATTTCACATCTTGCTTTCCTGGAAGCTACATGGTCTCTCTCACTCCGCCTTCTTTCTTTTTATATCTCTGTTTGGATTTCCGACGTAGCTATATTCTGCCCTGCCAAAACAGCTTTATTTATCAACCAATAAAAGCAACACATATTTGCAGCATACAGAAGGGCATCCCATATCAATACCATGTCTGTAGAGGGCCCCACAATCCTCTGTGTATAGCATGTTAGTCATCTCTTGATGACTGACAATATCCAATACAATACAAGCATCATTCAATCATCACTCTGCATTATCTAGAGAACAATGACAAGGAAAAAAACTATATTCAGTTGTGATGCAAACCTCCACTCAATATTTTTCAGGTGAGTTTCTGTGGCTCCTATATGACTTTACTGATAGGAAGTACCTTAACTAGTCTCATAGAAGCAAAGAGTGGGATGACCCTTGTCAGATGTGACATTCCTGTCCCTCAAGAGGAGCATGAGAAGGAGTTGTATCATCCAAGGTTGTGTGGGAACACCAGACCTTGAGCAGAGACCCACTTCCCCTTCTGCCTGGGAGTAGGCAGCTGTAAGACAATGTTTAGTAAAAACATGTTTACTAAAAACGATACAATGTCCGGGGCAATAAGTTCCTGGAAAAGGCCTTCCCACGGAAACCGCCCTGACCTCAACCTTGTCCAAAGACTAACCGCACCTTCAAAAACCCACACACATCCACCTCTGGTGTCAGAGCAGAACCAGCCAGGGGACAGGAGAGAGCAGAAGCTTCTCTGGTGGGAGCTTTTCTTAGGGAGTTTTCTTGAACCTTTTTGGAGCCTGTTTAAAGTTTTCTTTATATCGTTGAACGAGTCTCTGTGTTGTCAATCCCCGACACCCTCCGCACGTTCTCGGACACAGGCCGAGCAGCAGACATGACAACTGGAGGTCCCACTGAGATTGTGAAAGCGAGGTAAGTGGACGGGGTTAAGAAACTATGGGGAATAGTTCCGGGAAGCTAGAATCATTACAGTATCAACTAAAAAAGTTACTTAAAGAACATGGGACTACAGTCAAGTCTAAAACCCTAGAAGCCTTTCTAAAATCCATCGAACGAGCCAGTCCATGGTTCATTACTGGGGGAAGCTTAAATATTCCAGATTGGGAGGAGGTTCACCGTGATCTTCATAGACTTTTACGAAAAGAGGGATCTGAGTCCTTGCCCCCCCTACGACATTCTCCTTATGGAGATTAGTGAGAGGAGCACTTTTGACATATAAGGTTCGTCACCGCCAGGTAGTTCAGGACACAAAAGAGGCTTTTTTAGAGTTACAAGAGACTGAGACTCAAGCCTCCTTGAGTTCAGGGGCAGAGAGTGAGGAAGAGACTGTGATGGAAACTAGAGGCTCCATTGTTAGTGAGGATGAGGAGGAGTCTCTTAGTAACAACAAAAAAATGGGTAGAGATCTCTGGGCGCGACCCAAAAGAAGGACTCCGGTCAGAATCGGTTATATCCTTCTCTATCAGACCTAGAAAATGGAAGTAGCTCAGACTCAGACTCATCACAGTCTGAAAAGGAACGTTACTTGATGAGATCGTGGCCCTTAAAAAAGAACTAAAAAGATTCGAATTAAGGAAAGGCAGGTCAGGGAGAGAAACCCTTCCCCATACTCTAAAAAAAGGGACTTCTCCTATGAGATAACCCAGTCCTTCTCGGACCTGGAGGGAAGACCCAGAGGAAGGGTCCAATGCTGCCCGGTGGTGGCCCCGGTAATGGAAGTTCCAGACCCGAACAATTCTCGACAGGTCATTCGGCGCCATGACCCTTTAAATTTCAAATATATAAAACAACTTAAAGAGGCAACTTTAAATTATGGAGCACAGGCTCCCTTTACACTTTCCTTAATGGAATCTTTTGCATCTCTTAATTTGACACCTGGCAATTGGCAGCAGCTTTGCAGAGCAGCTCTGTCGGGGGGAGATTATTTGATTTGGAGAGGTGAGTTTCAGGAAAGATGCAGCCAGACAGCCCAAAGAAATGCACAGGCCGGACAGCCCCAGAGAAATGTGGAGATGCTTACCGGGAGTGGTCAATACGCCACCATTCAGCAACAAATGCAATATGACATCGCAGTCTATGCCCAAGTGGCAGCAGCGGCCCAAGGGGCTTGGAAAGCATTGCCTTCCAAGGAAGGAGGGGATCATCTGTCCAAAGTCCTTCAAGGACCTTCTGAACCTTTTCAAGACTTCGTAGACCGTCTCAGTCAGGTAGCAGAAAGAATATTTGGGGGCATTGGGCCTGCGATGCCAGTCATAAAGCAGATGGCATTTGAAAACGCAAATAAGTTTTGTAAGGAAACCCTTCACCCCTATCGTAATAAAAGTCTAAATGACTACATCCGGATCTGTAGGGACATTGATGGGAACTTCATCCAGGGCCAAGTGTTAGCTGCTGCTATTCGGCCCCAAGTGGGGAAAGAAAGACCTACTCTGGGAGGGAGAAAAACATGTTTCAGCTGCGGTAGGGAGGGACACTTCCGTAGAGAGTGCCCTCAAAATAGTACTACGGGTCTCAAGAGACCTGGTTTATGCCCCCGTTGTCGAAGGGGATATCATTGGGCCAATAACTGCTACTCTAAAACTGACTGGGAGGGAAATTTCCTTCCTGCTAATAATAATCAGGGAAACAGGAGGAGGGCCCCGCCCCAGGGCCCCAAAACCAATGTGTACGGGGCAATGACCCCTGCTCTGGGCAGTGGCAGGACTCATTTTCTCCCCCAGAGCAACCCCTTCATATCTCAGACCTCCTTAGAGCCACCTCAGGGAGTGCAGGATTGGACCTCGCTCCCTCTGCCCAGGCAATCCTAACACCGGAAATGGGGATCCAGCCCATTGCCCCCAGGCACGGTCGGACTACTCTTGGGACGGTCCAGTACTATTCTTCGAGGCATCCAGGTACACCCCGGTGTTATAGACCAGGATAGTGAGGGGGAGATTAAAATAATGACATCAGTGGGCAGTGGGGTTGTTGCCATCCCTGCAGGAGGACGGATTGCTCAGATACTCCTCCTCCCTACAGCTCCTTGTGAGGCTAGAAAAATTAAAGAGAAAAGGGGCAACCAAGGTTTTGGAAGTACCGGCCCAGCAGCATTTTGGGTAGCCACTATGGAGAACCGCCCCCAGCTTACATTAAAGATAGAAGGCAAGTCCTTTAGGGGCGTCTTAGATTCTGGGGCAGATTTTTCTGTCCTCTCAGATAAATTCTGGCCCCCTGCCTGGCCGAAAGAGGAAGGGACAGTGACCCTCCAGGGAATAGGACAGGCTGTGCCCCAAAAAAGCCTCAGAATCCTAAAGTGGCAAGACTCTGAGGGCCACATAGGGCTTTTCCAGCCATATGTTTTGCCTGGCCTCCCTATTAACCTCTGGGGATGGGACCTCATGCAAGAAATGGGAGTGGTCCTCACCACCCAGGCACCCAAGTCCAAAAGCAGGGGCCCCCAGATGACACAAGGGAGGGGCTGGAGCCCGGGGAGGGAACTAGGTAAACTAGAACAGGGAGAGGTTTGCCCTGTGGCATCCCTCCCTTTGGAGACCAGGGCCCCAGGGGATAGGAAGGGTTTTGGCCATTTTTGATGAGGGTCACTGTTGCGCCGCCAGCCCCCATACCCATTACATGGCTATCAGATGATCCGGTATGGGTGGAACAGTGGCCCTTACCAGCGGAGAAACTAAGGGCGGCTCACCAGCTAGTTCAAGAACAATTGGAGGCAGGTCATTTGGTTCCTTCCACGTCCCCTTGGAATACCCCTATATTTGTAATAAAAAAATCTTCAGGGAAATGGAGGTTACTACAAGACTTGAGGGCCGTGAATGCGACCATGCAACCTATGGGGGCTCTGCAGCCTGGCTTGCCCGTGCCTGTGGCCATTCCTAAAGACTGGCATTTGATTGTCATTGACTTGAAGGATTGCTTCTTTTCTATTCCCTTGCATTCTCAAGATAGTCCTCGGTTTGCATTTAGTCTTCCTGCGATTAACTTTAGGGAGCCTGACCTTTGCTTCCAATGGGTGGTGCTCCCCCAAGGGATGGCTAATAGTCCAACTATATGCCAGATTTATGTAGCTGCCTGTTTAGATCCCCTCAGACGTAAGTTCCCTGATCTTTACATTATCCACTACATGGATGATATTCTTTTGGCCGCGGCCGAAGAAAGACAATGTTACATAGCCTTTTCAGAGCTACAGGAACTTCTGGAAGCTCTACGGATTTATTTTGGCTCCTGAAAAGATCCAAAAGAGACCCCCTTATACTTATTTGGGTCATCAAATTCAACAAACTGGCCTCCGGCCACAAAGACTCCAAATCGATGGTTCAAATTTAAAAACACTTCATGATTGGCAGAGATTTTTGGGAGAGGTGCAATGGTTTCGCCCTTCTCTTTCTATTAAAACTGGGGCTCTTAAAGCGCTTTATGATATTCTTCCTGGGGACCCTGCTCCAACTTCCCTAGACAGATTACCCCAGAGGCCAGGGAAGCCCTACAATTGTTGTTAAGAAGTATAGAGCAAGCCCAC